GCTTACTAAAAAAAAACAGAAGGCTAGATTTTTTCTAGTTTATAATCTTTCACTCCATCAAAGGTTATTGTGATTATGCTATATTGAAAGACGTGTTATTCCTTCATATTAGCGGCATATACTTCCATACTCTATAATAAAACACCGAAATTTGTCTTACTGCAGCGTTCTACAAGTTTCTTCGCCGAAAATGTAGAGTCTTTTTAGTCCGTTGGTATATATGACTAAAAAGTTATACATAGCACGAGTATAATGTGTTTTGTCAATGAATTGAAAATACAAAAAAACTGAAAAGTCTTGAACTCTTTAATTTATTAAAAACAATAAAAACTTGGTTAGTATAAATTTAATTGAATATAAAAAATCATATTCATAAAATAAGAATTATATTTAAATTTTATAATAATTTAAAAAAAAAATTAACTACATAAAACTTATATAAAAAATAAAACAATATAAAATAAAATAGTTAAAAATAAAGAAAAATTAAATAAAATAAAATAATATAAAATGAATATAAATAAAATAAAATGAAGAGAAAAAACTAAGTAAAATATATATGAAATAAATTTAAAAAAATAAATCAAAAGTAAATAAAACTACATAATAAATAGAAAATAATAAAGTGAAGTAAAACAAAACAAACTAACATAAAATAAAACAGAACTATATTATAACAATAAAATTAAAAATCTCTTCAATATTATAGTATATAATATAAAATATAAATGTATATATTAAATTTAAATTAATATTTAATATTAAAGAGAAGATATGTGTGATATATTAAAGTAGAAAAAAAATAAAAAAAATAAACAAAATAGTTGAAGAGAAAATGAAGTAAAATAAAAATAAATAAAAAATAAACAAAATAATATAACAAAAAAGTAAAATAAAATAATACTAAATAAAACACGTTAAAACAAATTAATATAAAGAAATGTTATACAAAGAAAAAAAACTAATAAAAAATAAACTAACTAAAAAATAAGAAAATAAAAGAATAAAAGAAAAAATAACATAAAATAAAACTAAATGATTTAAAAAAAAATAATAGATAAGACACTGAAGATAAAATAAAGAAAAAAATATAATAATAAATAAAATAAGAAAACACAAGATAATAAAAAATAATGTTGAATACAAAAAAAATAATATGAAAGAAAACAAAATATGAAAAGCTGAAGAAAATAAAACAAAACGAAATAAAATAAAGTAAAATGAAATAAAATAAGACAAAAAGGAAGATGTAAAAGGAAATAAAATAAAATAAATCAAAATTAAATAAAGTAAAACGTAATAAAGTTTAATAGAACAAGACATAATTAAGTTATGTTAAATAAAGTAAGAAAAGGTAAAATAAAAGAAAGACACCTAAAATAAACTGAAATTAAAAAAAATAAAGTAAGACTAAATACAACAAAATACATTTCAAACGAAATAGAATGAAAAATAGATTTAATTAAAAAAAATTGAATAACTAATAATATAATGAATTAAAAGTAATTAAAGAAAATTAAATAAAAGAAGACACAAATTATAAAGAAAAAATTATAGTAATATAAAATATTAAATAAAAAGTAATAATACCAATACAGAGTGTAAAACAACGTAAGATAAAATAAAAATGCACACTAAACATAAAATAAACAAAACAAAACAATATAAAATATAAAAAAAAAATATATGTATATAAATAGAGACATAAAACTTAATATAAAATAAATAATTATAAAAGAAAAAAGAGTGAAACATAATAAAAGGAAGCATAATAAAGTTGAAGAAACTGAAAGATTTATAAAATACAATCAACAAATGTAGAATAAAGTGAATTAAAATAAAATAGAATAAAGTAAATTAATATTATTTAGAATAAAAATACATCAAGTAAAGAAAAAATACGCGAAAATAAAATAAAATAGAGCAAAACAAAATGAACAATAATAAAATAAAATATAGTATAATACAAAAATAGAAGGAAATAAAGTTGAGTAATATAAAATAAAATACATAAAATTATATAAATCAAATTAAAATAATAAAATAAAGTAAATTAAATAAAATATAATAATATATAATATTATTATATATTATTAAATATATAATTATATAAAAAAATAAAAACATATAATATAAAATAAAATAAAGTAATAAAATAGAAAGAAGATTGCAAAATAAAATAAAATAAAATATAAAGAATGAAATAAATTAAAGTAAAATAAAAAGAAAATAGAAATAAAAATACAATAATATAAGATAAAATAAAAATATTTTACTAATGTAAAATAAAATGAAACCATATAATATAATGATAAATAAAATAAAATAAAAACACAGCAATATTAAAAAAAATAATATAAAGTAAAATAAAATAAATCAATACAATATAAAATAAATCAAATTTAAATAAAACAAAATAAAACAAAGTAATGCAAAACAAAACTAAATTGAAAAATATAATACACAATACAGAAATATTATATAAAATAAAATAGAGTAGAATAAAATAGAATAGAGTAGAATAAAATTCATCGAAGCTGAATAAAATAGAATAAATTAAAACCTAAAATTAAATAACATAAAGTAAAATAAAATAATTTTATTTTTTTAATAAATTAATGTAAACTAAAGAAATGAAATATATTAAAATAAAATAAAATACAACAAATTGAATAAAAGAGTATAAAATAATTAAAACACAATATAAAATAAAATAAAATATAATAAAATAAAGCATATAATAATATAAAACACAAAATAAAATAAAATAACTTACATAAAATTAAAATAAAATAAAATGTGATAAAATATAAATTTAAAAAAAAAGCATAAAACAAAATAAAATAAAATCTATAAAATCAAGCAATATAAAGTAGAGTAAAAAAAAAATTTTTTTTAAAAAATATAATAAAGCAAAATTCATTTTAAAACTTAATTAAAGTATTAAATTAAGTTACTTTAAGTAAAATTTTTTAAAATAAAGTCATATAAGGATATTTGAATAAAATAGAATAAAATAAACTGAAATGAAATAAAATAAAATCAAATGGAGTGAAATAAAATAAACCAAAATAAAATAAACCAATATAATATAAAGTTAAATAAAATAAAAAATAATAAAATAACATATGTTTTTTCTATTTCATTATATATATATATATATTATTTTGAATAATGAATAATGAAGTGATATATATTTCATTATTCATTTATATTATTTTTACTTATTTTATCTAATTTTTTTTATTTTGTTTGTTAACATATAAATATATATGTTATGTATATGCAATATTTATGAAACAGTGTGTGTAGAAATAAAATTAAAAAAGCATGCCTTAAATATTTTAACGTTTTATATATTAAAAAAAAAGTTTTTTTTTTTTAAATTTTAAGCTCAAAATTGCAGAATTATTCATTTAAAGATGTATTGTTTTTTTACTTGATCATTATGGGAGACATCGAGCGGCGCTTTTATCGTAATAAGTCCAAACTACATAAAAGTTTAAGAACGCTTATTCATCACGAAGGCAAAGTGCAACGAATTAATTGTGAATTAGGACGCTTACATGCAGAGTTGGAGGAAAACCTCAAGAAAATTGGGAAGAAAATTGGAAAGCGCGCCAGAAATTTCAAGACCCCAGCGCGCTATTATGACTATGAAAGAGAAGTCAATGTGCTTCAAGATGAAGTCGTTGGATGCAAGAAACGTGTGGAAGAGCTTGTAGAAACACGAAAAGCTGTAATGGTTAGCTCAGCATCTTTCGTTGAAAAACTCTATAATCACAAAAAACAATTCAAAAATGGTCTTGACGAAACCATCGATTGCTTAAAATGTAATGCGGCGATGGCATACGATCCCAAAAAAATAAGATCTTATAAACGCAGGATAAGGGATGTGCAACATGCGTTCAAAAAAAATGTTAAGCTTACTAAATCAATTGAATATAAACTGAAAACATACATCGATTATCTTAAAAAACATGATCTACTAATTGAAAAGGACGACGATCCCTTTGAACCATATGAATGGCATCCACCTGGTAAGCTTAATAATTGAAGCAGTATACTGAATTAATGATATAATATATCGCTCTATTAATTTCTCTATTTATTTAATAATTAATTTGATCACTTCTTTCGCATATTGATTAAAGAAAAAACACCATTGTATAGTTCTAACAATTAGATTAATGTATTTGCTTCTTCTTATTTCAGTTATTAATGAATATTCCACTGAGGATGATGTATATGTAACTGCAAATGAGGATGTGTATGAAAGTGATTGACTGATAATTGATTGATTGGTTAAATGTCTAACTCATGCGTTAAGATAACATTTTGGCAATATATATTTTTAAATATGAAAACGGAAGAAAAAAATTTAAATCTCAAATGATTTATTTTTAATTTTTATTTTTATCACTATTTTTTAATATTTTGGTAGATATGTTGTATTTTTAAAAATTTCAGTAGCTACATTAAAGTTGGAGTTTAAAAAATTATTTCGAACAAACCTTTTGATCTTGATATTTGAAATCTTTTTGAAGTACAACTAAATATAAATATATACATTCTGCTCAAAAAGTATCCGGATTTTGTTGTTTGTTAACTACTCCTTAAGTAATAGACCTTTATCAAAAATGTTGAACCTTTTTTCGTTATGTTGGTACACCCTTTCTTGACATATGGTACAAATTTGAGCGCCATCTGTCAATTAGTTTGTTTACAGCAGCTGTTAATGTGAAACTACTCCAAATGCATTTAGCGATTTTTGCTATCGAAAATTCTTGTACGTGAAACACGGCACCACTGTCATCGCTCAGGCACCATATTCGCCAGATCTGGATCCGTGCTACTTTTTCCTGTTCCTGAAACTCAAATTGCCCCTTCGTGGTAAGGGTTTTGAGTTGCTTGAATCGATAAAAGAGAATTCGCTAAAGGAACAAAAAGCCATACCTTCACGGGCCTACGAAAAGTGTATGGAAGATTGGGTTAAGCGTTAGCATATGTGTAGCGCTTTAGAAGGAGCATATTTTGAAGGAGATAAAACAAATTTGAAATAAAATTTAAATATGTGTTTTATTTACAAAATTCGAGTACTTTTTGAGCAGAAGTTAAGCCTTGAAAATGTAGCTCTTGATCAATACAATATATCTTATATGGCATCTTAACATAAACCCAAATATTCATTTCGTGTGAATTGTGAACACAGTGACATCCGTCACAATTATAAAAATAAACATATTTTGCCTCAAATAATATTTGTCCAAATTATTCAATTTAACGGAAGATAAGTTTTTACATAAATTAAAATGTTACCCTTAATTACCTTTGTTGAGAATAAATAAAAATATTTCTAAATTTTGTTTTTAACGAAATGTTCTTGTCAACAGTTTTTATCGCTAATTGAAAGAAAGGGTTAAGGAACAACCCGGTACAAAATAGAAAGTCAAAGTTCAATTCATAAAAATGTGAAAAACATATTTTGATGTCAAAACTTTCAATACGGTTAAGAATTTATTAATATATCAAAATAAAAACCAATGGCTCTATATCAATGTATATCTTTTCAAACAAATTGCATGCATATATACATACCTCACATATATACACACATATATAATAACAAAAAATAATTTTAATAATTTTTGTGACCAACTGTCGCATCAATAGATTACATGAAGTAGAAAAATATTTTATAAAGGGTGTTCCATCTAGACTTCAAAACATTTCCTTAGAATAAAAAAAAGAATTTTAAGCATTTTAGTTTAAAACACAAAGATATAAAATATTTTTCACATAATAAGCTATTTGTGAAGCTATTTGGTACCCCCATAAGGGCACAGAAGGACCCAATGAAAGGAGTACATGCACCCTTCTTTGCTAGGAAGTCTGCTATTTCATTGCCCTCATGCCCTTCGTGTCCCGGTACCCACATAAGAGTAACATAGTTAATCGATGCTAGGGTGTTGAGAAGTTGAAAGCATTCCCAGAACAACTTTGATTGGAATAAGGATTTTTGCTAAAGATTTTAGAACTGTTTGGCTGTCTGACAGAATGCATATTTTGGTACCTCGGGTGCCCCTACGTATGCATTCTCTTGCACATGGCTTTAAGGTATGGACCTCTGTCTGAAAGTCTTAGTACAATGACTTGAAAGTCTTGGTCAAGTAAAATCTATAATATTTTATGTACTTCAAATCTTAAGTATACAATATTCTATTCTAAAATTCTAAAATTATAAAGGATAAACTTTCAATTTACTTAAGGAATAAAAATGTAAAAATATTTTCCTTTAATAAAAAAGCTTAGTAAAATGCAACCGCTCTTATTGGATAAACCTGTATATTGTATATGAATGGAGATACCTGTGTATAAATTTGTATGGATAAAGTATCTCAGTCGTTGTTGCGTTGACAGTCAGGTTTTTCAACTTTTCGTTTTGAATTTTCGTAAAATCCTTTTTTTAAGTTATTTACCTACGAAATGTAAATACAAATTGCTAAAGATATCAATCTGCATTTTTGCACATTTTTGCTTCTTCTTGGCGTTTCGTATTTTATTACTTTTTTCATTGCCTCTTGTATAAATATTTAAATTTATTCCTGTTGCCAACAAGTATTGTCAACTCTGCCTAATGCTGTTGACAGTTACTGTTTTGTGTCAATAGGTAAAAAATAATATTGACAATATCGATTGACATAAGCTGAATGAATAAACTTGAAATTAGTTTGTATCTGCAAGTACATTATCCTTGAGTACACACACGTCGAACGTTTCTCTTTCTGCACACCGCATATATGTAAGTAATTCAATTTCGCTAATATCAGTTACCGTCGCATTCAAATGTGTTTCAAAATCTCAGAACGTATTGAAATGTACACATCAATAATTTTTGGAAGGAAGTGAATGTGTCATAACATTTAACGTTTCAACAGGAGCATCAGTTTTCATTTATTGCATTATGCGTTAAAGAGATATTTGATGATATTTTCACTTCTTGTTAGATTTTTGTTTCAAATTTGGAAACACACATAGAGATGTGTGTAGAATCTTCCTTAGTCAACGATATGCAGACATCTAGGTCTTGCAACTTAGTCCCCATAAAATAAAAAAAAGTCCAGCAAATCTTATTGAAATGGCCAGTTAAGATATCTGTCGTATAATGGATTTGTTGCTGCCTTATCCCTAGTTCATGCTAGGAGATTGATTCTTTCGTTTAATATTTCTTCCCGAAACAGTAAGGTGAACGAAGAAAGTGCTGCACTTCTGCTACACTTCACACATCTCTATGTGTGCAGAATCTTCCTTAGTCAACGATATGCAGACATCTTGGTCTTGCAACTTAGTCCCCATAAAATAAAAAAAGGTCCAGCAAATCTTATTGAAATGGCCAGTTAAGATATCTGTCGTATAATGGATTTGTTGCTGCCTTATCCCTAGTTCATGCTAGGAGATTGATTCTTTCGTTTAATATTTCTTCCCGCAACAGTAAGGTGAACGAAGAAAGTGCTGCACTTCTGCTACACTTTACACATCTCTATGTGTGCAGAATCTTCCTTAGTCAACGATATGCAGACATCTTGGTCTTGCAACTTAGTCCCCATA